TATTGAACTATTGGTAGGGGGACAATCATTGATGACTTATTACATCAATGCCCTATATGCTTTATTAAGATGTATATTATTTCAGCAAACCTGTGATTGACAATGTCAGTGAATATTATTGTAAACTCTCCCTGATAAACAACTCCCATTGTTTGTGTAAAAAACATCCGGCCACGTAAGGATTTATTCTGTACAAGTGAATAATTCAGATATTGTGTTATGTGGTTAGCTAACATTGATCCAATATCCCTCTCTCAACAGTGTTTTAAAAATGAGTGCCAGGAGCTAATTAATGGAAGGTCTTTATGCTCCAGGGAAATGATTGATGAGATTCCCTACCATAAATTAACAAGGATGTCTCTAAAGGGAGTCAAAGGCAGATAAAAAAACATAGATTCAGGAATGGGTTTGGGGCTCACACTAAATTCTAGCTCCAATTTAAGAACAATCAGTTCTTACGTCATGGCCCTGCTCGATACTCGCCCTTAGGAAGAGAACACAGAAGATAGGGGTGTTATAGCAAGTGTGGTGAAGAAATCAGATGGTGCCCGGACATCAGATAAAATAGCATGTGGGGTCTTATATGGTAGTTTCCAAACAAGCAGCCATTTAAGTGAGATGTCAACTCAGTCGACATGGAAGAAGCGCACCGACATCTGTGACCCAAGGAGAGGGAAGAATATCAAAACCTAAATTGTGAGATTCTGGTTTGCAGAAGGCTATATGTGTGGAAGACAGTGGAAGCCCAGGATACATTTGTGAGGTCTACACAGGAAGTAAGATTCGGTGATTTCCCTCTATCCATAATGGAGGGATGGGGAGAAATTGGTTACAAAACAGAGTGCATTGGGGAGATGACTGTAAGAGATCAACATGATAAATCTGACTTGAATGGTTAAAACCCTGTCACTTGATCCCTCCCCTGATGCATGTTGGGCCTGACGTGGTTTACAACATTTTCTGTGGTGGTCCCCCGCAACCCCATATTGGGGTTTATCTCAGATGTATTTTGTTATTGGGTAACCCTCTTGAATTTTTGTTATATGCTATTCTGGTTTTTAGAATACGAAATCCAGGCATGGTGGAACCTATAGAGACAGCATGTAGAACAAGGGCTCCTGGGGGTGGGGGACAGTAAAGGAGCTGAGATCAAGGAGTTCAAGAAGGAAGAAAATGTTTTGAAACTGACTGTGGACGCGATTGAACAAGACTGCTTGATGTGATTGAACTATGTAATGATATCTGTATTAGTCCCAATAAAACGGTTTCGGCAAAAACAACAGCAACAATAAAACCTTTCCCTGCTGAGTTCAGAAAGAAATGTGAATATGGGAAAACAGAAAGCTACAATGCTGCTAGCTTTGATGATGGAGGAAGAGGGCACCAGCCAAGGAATACAGGCCATCTCTTGAGAATGGAACCATGAAACGGACTCTGCCCCAGAGCCTCCAGAAAGAAACACAAACACCTACTGCAAGCAGCTTGGTTTTTGTCCAGTGAAACCTTATACGGCGTTTAACTGTCAGTGAATGTTATTGTATTCTACAGAAATTCTATAGAATTTAAGAGTTTAAAAATGGGTGCTGCTTTCAGGCACAAAATTTATGGTACTTGGTGATGCAGGCAACAGAAATTGTGACACACACTCCATATGCACTGATTCTGACATGGGTTCTTTTTTTTAATGTTGTTCTCATCAAAAAGAAAAAAAACCTATGGTAGGCTTAAAATTGTAAATTATACACAAGGGCAAATAAGAAAGTATTGCTAAAAATCACAGAAACCTTTATTAAATAAAATGTTAGATGGCGAAGCCCTTGTTTCTCCATCTAGGTCTACACACTTCTGAAGGTAGTTTCCATAGCTCTAAGCCTTCCCCAGGAGAGACCAGTCCGTGGGAAAAGACATCATGCAGGGCAAAGTAAAGGTCAGTGAAAAAGAGAGGAACCCTTACGGGGATGAGTGGACACAGTGGCTTTAACATTGGCTCAAACTTAACAATTGTGAAGACGGTGCAGGACCTGGCAGTGTTTCTTTCTGTTGTACACAGTGTGGTTGCTATCAGAGCCGACTCAACAGCATTTACAAGCAACACTCCTTTCCGCAAAATTCTGCACTCTTCAATTTAAGGCACTCAGGTAGTGTTGCTTTTCAATGTTCTTTGAGTTTGGGTCAGCCATCCAAACTGTTGAGTTTGAAAAATGTTTCCAAGAATGGAATCACAGATTTGACAGATGTATTAAATATAATGGAGAGTACTGTAAAGGTGCTAAGGTTGTTTTCTAAAACAATTTAATTATACAGCTTTGAAAAAAGATATTCCTTTTGGGGAGCGGAGTACCCCCTTGTATATATATTACTGAATAGTTGTTTTACAGCAGTGGCAACTTTTACAAAAACCACGTTATTGCAATCTTATTCACTAAATAATTTTGTTGTTAGGAACTGCTGAGACACTTTCAACTCAGCGATTCTATGTAAAACAAGACAAAACACTGCCTGATCCTGTGCCATCAACAAAACTGTTATGTTTGTGCCACTACAGCGCCTACTGTGTCGTTCATCTTATTAAAGTTTTGCCATTTTCTGCTGCCCTCAAACACACGATGTCTTTCTCCAGGGACTGGTCCAGCCTGATAACGTGTCCAAAGTCTGTCAGAGGAAGTCTTGCCATCTTTGTTTCAGGAGCATTGTAGCTGTACTTCTTTTGTTAAGTCATTTTATTGGGAGCTCTGACAGGTCTTATTGCAATCCATATACCCATCCATTGTGTCAAGCACATTTGTACATCTGTTGCCCTCATCATTTTCAAAACATTTTCTTTCTACTTGAGCCCTTGGTATCGGCTCGTTTCCCCTGAACAGACCACTTCCTCCCTCATGAACCCTTGATAATTTATAAATTTGAGATGGCTGACAGCACCTCCCTCGTTTTTTCTTCACCTATTCCAAATCATTAAATTGCTGTCCTTTCATGTCCCTCGTCATTCGCGGAAACAAAAAGAAGTTGCAGGGAGTGAGGTCAGGTGAGTGAGGTGCGTGGGGCAAGAGAAGCATGCTGTTGGTTTTTTTTAACCAAAAACCGGTGCATTGAGATGGTTGTGTGAGCAGGTGCATTGTTGTGATGGCAAAACCAGTCCTCCATCTGGCACAAATCAGGCCTTTTTGTGACACACTGTTGCGTAATCTTTTCATAACCTGTAAATAGAAAACTTAATAGTGTGACCTCATAGAATGAACTCCAAATGCACTATCTCCATGAACACTGTCTTGATCTTTGATTTCACTTTTGGGGGGGCAAGGCGACAATGGTATCTTCCACTGGCTTGACTGATGTTTGCTTTCAGAATAGCACCATTTCTCATCACCAGGAATGACCTTAGAAAAACAGTCTGGGTTGCTTCAGAGCTGTTCTTTCAAAGCACAACTTGCTTCCACTTGCCACTCTTCTTCCTGGGCAGTCAGAACCCAAGGCACAAATTTCACAGCGACCCTTCTCCTTCCCAAACCTTCCATTAAAATTCATTGAACTGAGCTCTAAGATAGTCCAGTTAACTCCCCCATTTCTTAAATGGTCTGTTGCTGGTCTTCAAGCACAACTGCATGCATTTTGTCAACATTTTTGTCCATTTGGGAAGTTGACGGATGTCCAGAATGAGGTGTGTCATCAGTCAACATTTCAACTTTTTTGAAAGAAAATCTAATAAATTATTATTTTGTCATGTCTTACACTGACTGCTGCTTTCCTTCACCCACTTTTCTGTTGTTCGTCCCCCTGGGAGGGGTTTATATGTTGACCATTGTGATCGGTTCCACTTTACTCCTCCCACCCTGCCCTCCTCCGACCTTCCCCTTTCCCTCCTGGTATGGCTGCTCTCATTATTGGTCCTGAGGGGTTTCTCTGTGCTGGATCCCTGTGTTTCCAGCTCTTGTCTGGGCTGTACTTCTTTTAAGCCAGATTTGTTCAGTCTTCCGGCCATACATAGTTCTTTCGATATTCTTCTGCAGTCTTCCTTATTCCTTGTCCTACTTTCCCACACAGATGAGGTGACTGTATATATCATGGCTTGGGTGAGGTACACCTTAATCTTGAAAGTAACATATTTGCCTTTTCATTCTTTAAGTAGATATTCAACAGATTTGCGCAATACAATGTGTCCTTTGATTTGACTGTAAATCTTGACGGGAGGAGAAAGCCTTCACTATATCCTGGTGGTTTCAAACTGCAGACCTTGTGGTTAACAGCCCAGCAAACCACCAGGGAAATCAGGAATATTAATTCTGCATTATGACCTCTAGCCTTGGCACTTAGTTCACAATGCCAAACTCCTGAAAGTCACTTCCAAACTGCTTTGGCTTGCAATAATTAAAATAGAAGTAACGGTAAGTCTCACAAATCAAATACAATCCAATCTAAACATGATTCTCATTCAACTTCTGTTTAATTCAGATCCCCCAAATTCTTTCAGCTACTTCAATACCACCCAACACAAGGAGAAGTACCAAAAAGGAGAGAATGGAGTGGGAAGAGATGGCAGTCTTAATTGACCATCATTAAAATACCTGTTTGCAAAATTTATAAAAATATGATGTGGCCATATGGTTATTGTCCTTCTCAGGGCCTACAGAGTCCTGAACAAGCAAAGGGTCCAAAAAGCATTAACTTCATGAGCAATCTACCTTTGCTGGCATTGTGTTAACCATTGGAAGAACACAATTTTCAGTCCTATTTATTTTAACCTTTTGCTAACATGATTCAATTTCAACCAAAAAAAAATCTAATTTAAATAATGGAGCTTTCTACTCCATTACAAAGTTACCATCTCAAAACCACAGGGCAGTTCTATTCTGTCCTATAGGGTCACTATGAGTCAGACTTGATTATGTGAGTTTGTTGTGGGGGATATGTATATAAAACATAGCTATATATATATATATATACACACACACACATACATATACATACACACATGCATATTTATCAGTACAGAATATACTTACAGATGGAATACATTTCCAATTGCTGTCTTAAACGAATTTTGCTGATGGTGTCATAAAAGTTGGGTTCTGACAAAGTTTCTGCTGTAGGTGGGACGCTGAATATCCTCATAATTTTTCTTTTATTCCTAAAGCACAAAATCCATGCAGAACTGAGGTTGGTAGTGATGTCTATGGGACTGTAATTATTATATGATTGCAGTAATCAAAAGTTACATTAAAAGAACTTTCATGACAATAAGCCTGCCTTCTATTTTTCCTTTGTGAGATGTTTCTGTGGCTCAAGTATTCTTTCACTAAAAAGTAAAATGGTAAGCAGAAGCATCCATTTGCTACAAGATGAAGTACTTCTGTTGGGTCTGTCACCTGTCCCCACCCTCACCCCCAAATCCAAACACCATGTGGAAAGATGCACAAACAAAAAGACATCTGGTTTTTCTTCCCTTTCATATCATCTACATAGAGCCAATTTACTGGGTTAGTGAAGAAGCCAAAAAATCAGCAGACCTTAATTTTGGAAAATAATGAATGAGCATATTTTCCTTTTTTTTTTTAAGCATATGTCTTAAATACAATAGCATGACCTTAATAGGGCCATCTTGTTAAAATTCAAGAAGAGGGTGCCTCTACTTTTCAAATGAGACAGGGAGAAGTGGCTAATTTTAGAGACAAGTGAATACCTGCAAATGAACCAGTGAAAATAGGAGAGCCTTAATACACACACACACACACACACACACACACACACACACACACACCACGTTCTGGACACACTCATGCAGAGCCCAGGCAGCCACTGGTCCTACTGCCTAGGTATACCACATGGGGAAGGGTGAGCATACATGTATAAGCGAAGGCGGAACTCTGAACAGGTCAAATTATTGTTGGATTACCAATTTTCTTTTACTGCTTAATCCCTTTAAAAAATAACCTTGGTAGAAGACACCTTGAACAGACCAGCCCAGTCCAATTAATACCGTTTTTCTTCTTAAAACATCCTGCTTTTGGCCCCTTTCTAAAAACCACTTTGGAGAAAGGAGCCTAGGGGTGTGGAAAGCAGCAGTTAAATTAAGCTACAACATCTGGAATTAAGGTAGTCAGTAGTTCAATGGCTGAGGAAATATTTATTGAGGACTTATACTACATTATACACCAGGGACACAAAGTTCAAAGGCAAGGGTATCGTTCTCAAGGAACTTAGTCTTTTGTGGATTGGATAGACTAGGCGGCTAATACTCATACTGTTTATTAAGTGTTCTGATACAGCTGTGCCCACCAAACAGAAGGGAAAACTGGCAAGCAGCAAACAGGAACTCACCGAGCAGCCAGGAATTCATGCTTTGGTGTTTCAGGGGCATTGCTGAATGTGCTCACAGCTACCAAGCTATGAAGAGCCATGGAGGAATCTCTACTCTCTGTTGCTAAGGGGAGAAGCCTGTCTGAAAAAAGCTACAGACTTTTTGAGTACGACTGTACGATATTTTGAGAAAGGCAAATCTAGGGAGATGATGAAAAGATCAGAGGTTGCCAGAGTCCCAGGGGCAAGAGAAGGGATGGACTGGTGGAGGACTGGGCATTTTCAGGTAAGTGAGACTATCTTTCTGTGTGCTAGTACAATGCTGGACATGGGACAATATCCATCTGTAAACCCCTTGCCTTTCCCCCCAGATGCCACACTGCGAGTCCAGCTCCTGGTGGCCCGATGTGTATCAGAGCAGACCTGTGCTCCACAGGCTACTCAAAGCCCAGTTTTTCAGAAGTACATTGCTAGACCTTTTTACTGAGGCACTGCTGCATGGACTCAGCCTGCAACCTTCTGACTAACAGCTGTGTCAGGTTAACCTTGAGTTCCACTCAAGGACTCTGAAAATCTCTAGGGTTGGACATTTAAAAAATTTTTTAATAAATCATTTTCTTGGGGGCTCTTAGAACTCTTATAACAATCCATACATCAATTGTAGCAAGCACATTTGTACATATGTTGCCATCATTTTAAAATATTTTCTTTATGTTTGAGCCCTTGGTATCAACTTATTTTTCTTCCTTCTCCACCCTCCCACCCTGATAAATTACAAATCATTATTATTTTCTTATCTTACATCACCCACCTGTCTCCCTTTGCCCATGTTATTATTGTTCGTCCCACTGGTTGGGGTGGGGTGGGGGTTTATACACTGATCATTGTAGTTGGTTCCCTGTTTCTCCCCCTTCTCCCCTCACCATTCCCCTCCCCTCGTGATATCACTACTCCAATTGCTGTTTCTGAGGGGTTTACCTGTCCTGGATTCCATGTGTCGAGAGCTCTTATCTGCCAGTGTACATACTCTGGTCTAGCTGGATTTGAAAGGTAGACCTGGGGTCATGATAGTGTGTGGGGGGGGTAGCGGTGAGCATTAAAGAACTAGTGGTATGTTGTGTGTTCTGTCGGTGCTATGCTGCACCCTGGTTGACCAGTTCCTTCCTTGTGACCCTTCTGTGAGGGAATGCCCAATTGTCTACAGATGGGCTTTGGGTCTCCACTCATACCCCCACCATTTGCATCAATATATATGTTTTTGTTTTGGGTCTTCTGATGCCTGATACCTTATCCCGTCTATAACTTGTGATCATACAGGCTGGTGTGCTTCTTCCATGTGGGCTTTGTTGTGGGGCTGTACATTTTTGTTAATCAGAATGTATCACACAGAGTGAACCCTGATGTAAACTCTGGACTGGCACTAAAAAGAATGTCTCAATGTTGGTTCATCAATTATGACAAATGTATTGCCGGAATGCGGGATTTTAATAGGAGACGCCATGAGCAGCCTGGAGGGGACATTCTGGGGGACATTTCCTGGTAAACCTACTAAAACATAAAGCCTACTTTTAAAATGTACTCATTTAAAGGGGACATGGAACCAAGTGGCCTGATTGAGTTCTGTTAGAAATGACAAAGTTGGTAGTTAGAAGCAGAAGACGTGAAGAGCTGCATCCAATAAGCCTTCATCTCTTACAGCCACAAGGAGGTTTAAAAAGCCAGAGCCTGGCCCTCAGGGAGGCAAATGTCTTGATGGTAATGTTTTCTAGAATTCAATTAAAATGAAAATCACCATCACCACATACGAGTGTTTTGAAGGCTCAATTTCTTATCTACCCTGATGTTCCAAAATTTACCTCTTGGCATACATGAAGAGACCAAAACTAACAAGGATGACTATCAAGTACACATTGGTGGCTTCGTTCCAGGCTTCGTGAACCGTGTAGTCAATGGAACCGTCATCACCCATCACTCCGTGCTGCAAGAGAGAAGAGAAAGCAGGCCTACTTTCAATGAGCGATCATACACCACCTGGAGAAGTGTTGGCAAGTTAAACCCAGCCTGCCACCGTTTTTTATGTGTGTGACTCCCAGGCCAAGGGAGGTTTTTCCATTTTGAAAGGGATATATATTTGATGCTTTTATAAAAATCTTTATGATGCCTTCAATTTTGCCTCTTTGTTCACCAAACTGGAAATATGTTCGGTCTGTCCCTTTAAGAGAAAGTTGGCCAGCCAGTGAGCGAGGCAGTCAGGGTATTGGTTTTTCACTTTGAAACAGTACAGCTCTGCTGCAAGGGTTAAAACTCAGGACTAAAAGCATCCTGTTCTTAAAAGGGTATAAGCTGAACTGTCAGGGCCCACCTTCCAAACTGTAACCATCCCAAAGAGACGAGAACAACAGAATCCCTAATAACTGGGACCCAAGCCCTGGGCTGTGATGCGAAGGGGAAGATGCTGCACTCGTGACACAAAGCAACTCCCTTCCATGGAGTCAATGCTGACTCTCGGTGACCTTCTGCGGGTTTCTGGGACTGTACCTGCTTATGGGAGCAGAATAAGGTGACCAGATTTAAAGCGGGACACCATTGATTGACCGGTGGGGGGGGGGGGGGTCTTGATTAAAAATTTGGTCTATATGGACCAAATAAACCGTTCCCTAGCTTGTCATGCATTCTTTCCAAAAATCGGGACTGTCCCGCCAAAAGCAGGACGTCTGGTCACAGAGTAGAAGGCCAACCTTTCTCCCACGGAGCTGCTGGTGGATTTGAACTGCCAACCATGCAGATCAAAGCCCATCTCATAACTACTGCACCACCAGCGCACCATACAGCAGTCTTCAAAAGACGTGCTTGCCAGGATGGGGAGCTTTATCTAGCTTTGGCTTTCTGGCCTAATTTGATTGAAAGAAGCTCTGGGATTAAAAAGTTACTTTTTGCTATTTACACAGCTATGATTTCTAGGTCAAAGAAATGCATTCTTTGGACATTCCCACACAAAGTAACAGTGGTAATATAATGGCAAGTCTATCAGATAATAAGTTATAAGTGTCAGGATTGCATATTTGTGTTTGAGAAGTTAATTGAATTTTCCCTGAGAGGAAGCTCTTTTGTAGTGTTGAACATAAAAGGTACATAAATCTAAAGGAAGGAACAGTGGGGAGACCTTATATCTGAAAGACATCCAGAAGGGTCATGTTAGACTCTCTCGAGAGGAGAAAAACATAGGGAGTAATAGGAAAGTGCCACGCTGTCACTTCTAAGAACAAGGCAGTCATTTTCTAATACCAAGAACAAATATCTGGAACATCCAAGTTGTTTTGCAACACACGGACACACACACCCCCACCTTTGGCTGCCTACAGCAATAAAGACATTGCTGAAATCTCACTGGAATATCTTGCCGCCTGTCCCGTGAGCCTCCAAAATGGTTCCCAGACGAAGAGTTGGCTCAGAAAGTTGAATCTGTATTAAAGGCAGAGCCTGTTGTCAAGTTTCTTAGAGCTTGCTTCTGTCTATAGAATGAATGAAAGTTCTCCACAGGTCTGCTCCTGAGCCAGGTGGCAATGCTCTCCTTCTGACATGGAAAGACTTGGTCAGAAGTTTGGGGACCTACTGTAGCATGCCAACTCTGGGCACTGGGGACAAGAGCAGGTCATCTGAAACACCAACTGGTGCCTGGGGGATAAAAGGACTGGTCCGGTGACAGTGAGCTGAGGAGCTCTGAAAATAGCATCCACAAGGATACAAATCGATAAACGTGAGTTTGAAGCATGACTTAATTGTTAAGACTATTACCCGGTTCCTAAATATTAAAGACTGCCTATGGATGGCTTTTGTGGGGTGGGCACGAAGGAGAGTGAGAGCCACAGGGGCATTTGGAATATGCCATTTCGCTTCTTATTCCTTACAAACCAAACTTTGGAGTGTCTCAGAATGTCATGTAACATCATGGCTTATGCTAACTTTTGGAGACTATCACTGCCTTTAAGATTTATGGCATCTAGAACTTTGTCAAGGCAGAAATGTACAGTAACGACCAAGCATGATGGCTTTAGAGGTCTGACCTGACACACTGCTGAAAGAGTGGGGCAATGAGTCAGCAAAGGCAGCAGCTCTCGGGTTTGGGAACCATCAACAGACCGGGGAGGAAGCAGACCAAGGGAGCTATGGCCGCTAGCCTCTTTGCAGGTGCCATTCATCGGACAAATCAGAAACGGGTTGTCACCCTGTTTATTGATCTAAGCCAGGTTCAGTTCTTCCTTTCCGGTGTTCCACAAATCTGTCATGTGCCACTCAGAAAATGGTGTACGGTCACTTCCGCCTTCTACAAAGATGACATTCTTAATTTTATTTACCGAAGAGCTTCCAATTATTGTCAACCCAGAAAGATAAACTTTTAAAGTGAATTACACAACATACATTATACAACATCATCAGGATGCAATGACACTACTGTTCTACCGTTCCAGGGACACGCACTTGAGCTATTTTTAGTGGTGCAGTTGTGAAAGGTTTGCTCCAAGGATAAGCCTTGCCTATCCTCCCAACGGTGTAAGTTTTTAAAGCTGCCAGGACTACAGAATGGTCTAGCCTGGTCGCAGAGCAGACCAGAGCCCACGTGTGGCCTGGCCCATGGCCATCCCAGTACACCAGTCTCACCGAGGTACACAGGTACACCAGGTGAATTGTCCCTGAAACCACCACAGCCAGGACGAAAGCAAAATACCCAGGGGCCTTACTTACAGTGGCTCATTCCTGGTAAGTTAATGTTCCAGCAGATTTTCCAATAGAGCCAGTCATGTGCTTGGAGTGTCACTCTGGGCTCTTTGGAGACAAGTGACCTCTTCTCACATATCTGTTTATGTAAAGTAACCTTTGAAATGACTCTTTCAGTAAGGAGGTGCTAGGATGGGCCGAACTAAGTCCCAATTAACATGGATTGCCTTAGAGAAAGTTGCCGAAATATGGCAGCTAAGGCTTACTTCAGGTTAACCTTTAGGTTGATTAACTAGGACACATTTTCTATGGGTCAAGTAACTGTATTGTAAATATTTAAAACTAGCTTCCTGATTTGGGGTCCCTGAGACCATGCCCAGGCAGTTTCAAAATTTATAATCATGCCTTAATGTCATCACTTTTGTCTTTCATTTCAATCTTTGTGATTTTCCGATAGAAATTCAGATCTGACTGACTGAAGACTTATGACTTTTGAGGGTCACGAATTGTTGCCTGGTGTGAAAACAGAGTTTTTACAAATACAGTTCTATAACCCCTTATAAGGGAGCCCTGGTGGCCTCCTGTTTTATCTTTGGGGGCTAATCTCAAGGTCAGCAATAAGGATGAGGCTGTCTGCTCATGTAAATATTTGCAGCCTCAAAAACCCCAGGGAACAGTTCTAGGACCCCTGTGGGGTGGAACCTGCTGGGTGGCAGTGAGTTTGGTTTATAATTCTCACAACAAAGACCACTGCATTAGTTGAGTGTGATTTTACTTTTCTGTCTTCTGAAAAATTAAAGGGCAGGGTGCCTGAATTTGAAGAGCACAAGCTAAAAGGCCTTTAGCCAACATTTGAAGGCTGTGCTGGGCTGACCACGTATTCCCTTGCCAAATCAACCCTATAGGAAGTATAAAGGCTCCACTTTATGGAATAAACGGGGCGGGGAGGCGAAAGGTTTCTATAACTTGCCTAAAGTCACTCAGGGAAGGAAGTGGACGAGCAGGGTTGTCACACACATCTAAATTCCCTAAGCTGGACTTTCACTCAGAAGCGCCACCTTTCCGGTGAGCCCTGCTCCTTCACGGGAAGAAGCAAGCGGTGCGGGAATAAAATCGAATCCTCTGGCAGGAAGTGGCCGGGCGGGCAGGAGAGCTTCCACATTCCCGCCGCTCGACGGTGGCGCGTGAGTCCGCCTGAAACACTCCCGCCCCAACAGTGTCGCCCCCGGTGGGCGCGGCCGAGGGATGGGGCTG